GATGGGGGGCAGCCTACAGATCAGGGAAGTGAGAGATGGGGGAAGGGTGCAGCATACAGATCAGGTAAGTGAGGGATGGGGGAGACAGCCTATAGATCAGGTAAGTGAGGGATTGGGTAGAGGGAGCCTATAGATCAGTTAAGTGAGGGATGGGGGGGAGGCAGCCTATAGATCAGCTAAGTTAGGGATGGGGAGACAGTTCATCAATATCTGGAGGGCCTGAGTTTGGGGAAGCCTGTCTTAGAGAGTCAACTGATCACTCTAGCCAATCTGCAGCACCCATGCCTGTCGTCAATCTGCACTTCCTGACACTCCGTAATACCATTGAGCAACCTGGATATCTGGAGCTGGAGAAAACCTTTGGGGTTAAACCATTTGAGAATGGTTTAACCCCTTAAAGGAAAGAGAGCACCCAGGGGCTTCCTGGCATCATAACATTTTCATTTAGATGAAGTTGTTATGGTGACCAGAATGTTCCTTTAATTTGCTTAAAGGAACACTATAGTGTCAGGAATACAAACATGTATTCCTGACATCATAGTTGTGAAAACGCTATTCACCCTGGCTTTATGTGATAACGACTAATATATATACACACACACTGAAGGGAAAGTAAACTTTGAGAAACACTGAGAAAATTTGGCTTGGCCAAACCATTTCTCCTGATAGAAGTTATACAAAATAAATTGACCAGTGCACTGCAAAATATATATGTAATATAATATTATATATATATATATTTTTTTATTTTTTTTTTGCAGAACACTGATAACAGCATATTACTGTCACTTGATTCACAGATCAAGTGAGAAATAGTAACCATAGATGAAAAGAAATCAGTAAAAAAAATTGTATATTTATATATTATATATTTATTAAATATATAATGTATAAATATAGATTTTTTTTTTTTTACTACTACTGCTTTTTTAAGCTGTTACTCACTTCTCACTTGATCTGTAAATACAATCAACATTTACTGGTTGGAACCTAGAATCACTAACCTAAACAAACATGCTCAGCAATTGTGCGATTTGGTTGATTTGTGATTCTGGTACATTTCGTCTTTGAGTTCAGGATATCACCGGATCAGGCCAAATTGCAGTATGGACGGAAAACGTATCTCCAAGTCTAATGTGTAACTTTAGTGACGGTATCCAACAAATAAAATAAGACTTTCTTCTGCCATGGAAAACACACATTACTTTTCATTTCAATGAGAGAAAATACAACAGTTAGCAACTCTAAATAAAAATAACATTTAGGTGTGTGGAAGATTAAGGTAAGTGCTAACAATTCCAATTGACATTTCAGCTTTTACCAGTTTCACAGTAAGAGATTGATTTAGTTGTTTTGTTTGATTCGTGCCCGAGGGTGTTCTATGCTGTCCTGCAAAAGCAGGGTTTAAACACAGCAGGGCAACATAGAACACCCAGCGGTTTGCCCCCCTCCCCTGCGGCTTTAATACTAACCTGCTGCGCAATCCTGTTCTGGGGGACTGCCCGACAGTCCAGGAAGACCCCCTGCAGCGCCTGGGCTCTTTGAAAGCCCTGCGGCCATGTGATTGAGTCTGCAATAGCAGACGATGGAGATGCCTGCAGGGGGACTAAAATATATGTTTTACTTGGTTGATTAGTGCTAGTGGAAATGTTGATGGTGCCAGTAGAGATGGTGTTGATCTTGGTGATGGTGTCTGGAACAATTCTGTATTGAAGTTGCCTGGTCTGTGAATAGAATCAACATTTACTTGCTGTCCACTAACCATCTATAATTAATATATATATATATATATATATATATATATATATATATACACACACATACATATATATATATATATATATATATCTCAAAATGTAGAAAGTCCTTGCACTCACGCTTTAGTAGACTGTTTGCCGGGTGCTTGAAATCCAGGAAAATTCAAATATATATATAGATAGTGATCAGCACTCTCGAGGTGGAGACCATGGCAAACTTCTTCTCAATAGAGAGACACAGTGGATTTTCCAGTTAAATACGATTGCACCCAAAGGACTTGATGAGACGATCTATCACTTATTTCTCTAAAAGTTGAACCCCTCTGCAAAAAGAATAATGTTTTTAATGGTTTTTAGATATTAACATTTGGTACATCAGTTCAGTACTAACATTGTCTTCATGTACATAAGTAGATGGTTGTTGTAAATATTGTTCTAATACCATGTTGCATGTGTTTCACTTTAATATTCACAGAATATTTGTATTTAGCACTTTATATTTGGAACTATAGCACTTTATAATATGGCAGTATCACTTTAATATATAGCACTTCCTATAATGGTAACACTTTAATAAGTAGGAGTGATACACTCTAGAGCACAACAATCACTTTATTAATTCATATAGCACTTTACCACAACTAAGCAAGCACTTTAATTTAAGCATATTTGGTCCACTTTAAGACCCCTTATCAGTAGAAACTTAAATCTTACTTGACACAATGAAATTTCCATCTACTATATTATACACTACAGTGGAGGTAGGTTAGCCACAACTTATGTTATTAAATATATATATGTACCATTTATTTTAATTTCCAATCCTGTTCTTTCCAGTTTTTTTCTCCATTTTTTCTATATGTCTATATTGAAGCACTTTTAATGGTTGTGGAAATAGATTCATAGATATTTTTTTCACTATGTTTTGCATGATTTTATTTATGTATACAGGTTGCTATAACAACCGGGTATACACTTCGTTCACATGCATGCTATTTCCTGATTCTAGCACCACGTGATTTTTTTCGTTGTCACGGCAACGTGTGACGTCATCACAGCACGTGGGGGCGTGGCTTTGTCCACGCATGCACATGGGACATTGGGGGACGCTATGGGCATCACTCCCACTATTCTCAGCACCAGTGGTAATTAATTTTCCACTAATTCCATTTATGTTTTCTCTATATAAATGCACTGTTTTACTATATTATCTATGCCTGATCCTGATGAAAGTCCATACTGGGACTGAAACGTCAATCTCATTTTTAATGGATTATTAATAAACTGTATGTTTTAATCTTCCAAAGTCTGAGAGTGCTGATCACTATCTATCTATCTATCTATCTATCTATCTATCAGGCCTCTAATTCATCATGACAAACTAAGCTGCTCATTTGCACCCACAAAAAAAAAAAAAAACAATAAAAATGCACTTCTCCATTTCATTCCCTTTTTTATTGTGCTAGGAATGACACTGCAAATCAAGAACTGAAATTAGCATGCTTGTGTAATTTGAATCAACGAGAATGGACAGCTTGAGCAGCCAAATTGTACTCATTCAATACCAAGTGATCAGTAAAGAATAAGAAATATTATGACATTCTCACACTATTCTCTATAATTCCATGTTTGTAGCAATGCATTCTACACCTTAACTGCACTGAATGTAAAGTGCAAGTGAAAAAATAAAAACATGTTTTAGCATATATTGTCCAAGACACTGATTGTGCAAGATTAGATTGGTCATCAATGGACTTGAAAATGTCTGAAAATATCAAATGACTTAAGTCTACAGAAAATGACCAATGTCCAATCCAAGAAGAATCTTATGTAGTGTTTTAGATTCTTAAAATACTTATCAAGATTTATATATAATGGGCAAATAATAAAATAAAATTTGCAATTGATTCAGTGAAAAATATTTCAAATAATATCACGTCTGTATTTACACTAAGAATATGTAGCTTATTTTACATTGTTTCTACAAAGATTCTAATTATTTTATTCATGACTTAATACTTTTTTTTTTTTTGCCCAAACTGGAAACTTGACTAAAAGGAGAGCGATCTAAATAATAAGTTGGATTATAAAACTAAAAATACACTGTAAATAGTAAAATAAACTCTATCTAAAATGATTATTTGAAGAAAAAAAAGGTTATTTATTTGGTTTAATCCTTTGAAAGTCATTTCAATAGATTGTATCAGTTAAGCTAAAACACATGACCTTTTTTCTTACGACTTGAAAGAGACCACTTAGTAAACTTGGCTATTTTTTGCATTCATGTGAACTTACAGAAATATTCTTAATGGGTTTTTCTTTGCCAGATAAATGACAAGTGCATCACATGCATCTCTACCAACGAAAACTAGTCAATATTTAGGAATTTGTTTTGTTTGGTGCCAGATTCTTTCAGCCTAAACAAAAAAAAATCCTTTGCAATTCCAAGTGAAGAGATCTTCACATATTCACATATTTAATAATTCTGAGTTATTGTTTTGCTATTTAATATTGTATTGTTTGGCTGTATTTTGTGTTTTCGAGTGATTTAACCTGTCATATGATTTGTGAAGTATAAGAATAATATACACATACATTTATTCTTCCAGAAATGATATATCCATGCATAATACATCAATTTATATAGTATTTTTGCATTTAGTATAAGTTAAACAAGGATGGCATTTGGAGCCATATTTATTTTTTTTTTAAAGTGCAAAATTGTGTGCTATTGTGTGGCAAAATGCTAAATGTTGAGGTATAGGGGGAGATTTATCACTCTTTAGCTCTTTGCATAAGTGTACAATTTGTTTCTGATTTGATAAATATGGGGGAAAGGGGGAAACCTGCCAAGATCAAACAGTTGCTAATATGGGACAAAGTGCACAATGAGGATCAATCACCATGAAATCCAATAGAAGGTCTCTCAGCATTTAGCACTTTGCATCCAGAATAGCCCCTGTTTTGATTTGATAAACCCTCCCTCTCCTTAGACAAGTGCATGGGATATAGGACATTCATTATTATTATTATTATTATTGCCATTTAAATAGCGCCAACGGATTCCGTAGCGCTTTACAATATTTTGAGAGGGGGGGTGTAACAATAAATAGGACAATTACAAGAAAACTTACAGGAACAATAGGTTGAAGAGGACCCTGCTCAAACGAGCTTACAGACTATTGGAGGTGGGGTATTTGAAACATTAGGACAATAAATATCAGGTAGGAGTGAAGCAGAGCTGGAGGAGAGAGCAAAGCACTGTCCCATAGGAGAGAGCAGGAGACAGGTATGTAAGGTAGAGGTTACTCTGGGAGGCCATAAGCTTTCCTGAAGAGATGGGTTTTAAGGCCCTTCTTAAATGATTGAAGACTAGGGGAGAGTCTGATGGCAGTAGGCAAGCTATTCCATAGGAGAGGAGCCGCCCGCGAGAGGTCCTGCAAGCGCGAGTTGGCCGTACGGGTGCGAGCAGCGGTCAGGAGGTGGTCACGGGCAGAGCGGAGGGTACGTGGAGGGGCATATTTATGGATCAGTGAAGAGATATAAGCGGGGCTAGAACTGTTCAGTGCTTTAAATGTATGGGTTAGCACTTTGAATTGACTCCTATAGCATACAGGGAGCCAATGTAAGGACCGGCAGAGGGGTGAGGTGTGAGAGGACCGACTAGAGAGGAAAATCAGTCTAGCTGCAGCATTCATTACAGACTGTAGCGGGCAATACGGCTTTTGGGGAGACCAATCAGGAGAGGGTTACAGTAATCCATGCGGGAAATTACTAGAGCATGGACAAGCTCCTTGGTAGCATCTTGCGTAAGAAAGGGGAGAATGCGGGCTATGTTTTTGAGTTGGAACCTACAGGACTTGGCAACAAACTGGATGTGAGACTCGAAGGTGAGACCAGAGTCAAGTATGACGCCAAGACAGCGCGCTTGCAGGGATGGACTTATGTGGATATCACTGACTTGTTCATAGAGTGTAAGCTTGTTAGTGCAGTGCCCTCTTAACATACTGTTCTTGTCTGGCGTATATGTTTTGTTATAATTACATGTTTCTCTTGTTTCCTGCAGTTATAATCAAAATTATTCAACCCCCACTGAAAATCAGGTATATTGTCAAAATGTACAGATTTTCAGCTCTTTTCAATGAAAATATCAAACAAACGTATCTGAAATAGCTCAACACAACAAATGCTTCAAGTGGTTTCCCCAAATTCAACTGAAAATGCAACTTATAATGACGTCTCCCGTCTATTATTCAACCCCCGGAATACAATCCCTCACAACAGCACAAATATGCAAAGCAAGTGTTGTCTCAAGCACACCTGATGCAACAAATCAAATGCCTCATTAGTTGCACCAGGTGTGCTTGAGCTGGAACACTTGAAATACCTGAACTGGCTAAGAGTTTGTTGAGTGTGACAATAGACTGCATATTAGAAATATAGCTAAGTCAAAAGAATGGTCCACAAAGTTAAGTAAAGGCATCATAGCCCTTCACACACAAGGAACAAGATACCAAAATATAGCAAAGGCACTAAATATTCCTAGAGACACCATTGGAAGCATAATTCGTAATTTCAAAATTGAAGAAACAGTGGTTACACTACCTGGACGGGGCAGGAACAGGTAGCTATCAATGGCTGCAACCAGATTTCTGAAAAGGCAGGTTGTGAAAAACCCTCAAGTGACTGCAAAAGACCTGCAGCAAAACTTGTTGGCAACAGGCACTGAGGTTTCAGTGAGCACAGTAAGGTGTGTACTAAACGCAGAAGGTTTCCATTGCAAAACTACGAGACATACACCACTACTGACCCAAAAGCACAAGAAATGTTGTATCCAAAATGCTCAAAATCATATAAATGAGCCACAAACGTTTTGAGATGGTGGTGACTCCGTGATGCTATAGGGATGCATTGCAACTTCTGGCACTGGAAATCTGCAACGTGTGGATGGCAAGATGAATTCATTGAAGTATCAGGAAATCCAGATGTGTATCAATGAAATGTTTGGGGGTTACAAACATTGATACAAACATTAAAACCTGTTAATACTAGCTATGCTACACTGTGCAGACTATGTATCATAATTTCAAGCACCGAATGGTAATGTTGCTTGTATCCAAGTGTGACCAATGATATTACTTATGCAACACTTGGTTTCTGTTTCCCCCTTCCCCTATCTCTTTTCTGTATCTCATATACCTTCTGAAAACAAAAAAATTGTCAAATTGGAAGTATTGGGAAATCCTAAGAAAAAACATGATGCTATCTGTGAGGAAAGTTGAAGCTTGGGCATCATTTGACCTTTCAACAATGATCCCAAGCTAACCTCAAATTCCAACAGGACTTGGTTGCAGAAGAAATCCTGGAAAATTCTACAGTGACCATAACAGTCACCTGACTCGAACCTCATGGAAAATCTATATTGGGATTTGAAGAAGGCATTTGCAGCATGCAAACCTAAGAATATTAGTGAACTGGAGGCCATTTCTCATGAGCAATGGGCTAAGTTTCCACAGGAACGCTGCCAGAAATTGGTGTCTGACTATGCATCTCATTTGCAGTAGGTCATAACCACAAACGGATGCTCTACTAAGTACTAAAAATGCTTGCCATGAAGGGGTTGAATAATTTTGAGACTTGAGATGTCATTCTAAGTTGCATTTTCAGATGAATTTAGGGAAACCACTTGAAGCACTTGTTGTGTTGAGCTATTTCAGTTACTTTTGTTTGATATTTTCATTGAAAAGAGCTGAAAGTCTGTACATTTTGACAATATACCTGATTTTCAGTGGGGGTTGAATAATTTTGATTATAACTGCAGGAAACAAGAGAAACATGTAATTATAACAAAGCATATACGCCATACAAGAACAGTATGTTAAGAGGGCACTGCACTAACAAGCTTACACTCTATGAATGTCCTATATCCCATGCACTTGTCTAAGGAGAGGGAGGGTTTATCAAATCAAAACAGGGGCTATTCTGGATGCAAAGTGCTAAATGCTGAGAGACCTTCTATTCGATTTCATGGTGATTGATCCTCATTGTGCACTTTGTCCCATATTAGCAACTGTTTGACCTTGGCAGGTTTCAAATGTTTTTGTTTGATTTGTACATTGCAAATAGCTGAATGTCTGTAAATTTTTACAATAAACCTGATTTTCCATGGGGGTTGAATAATTTTAATTGTAACTGTATTATACAGCACTGCAGAATATGTTGGCTCTACTGTATATAAATAATCATAATAGTAATGCAAAGCATGACGTTTTACAGATTAACTCTGATTGTGATTTATTTTAATATAGTAAAAACAAGTATTTAGTAACGAGTATCCAGTTATTATCATACTTTGAGGTACACTACAACTTCAGAAACTATATTTAACTTTTCTACTTTTCCATAATTCTGAGTTCTGACACATCTAAATACATTTCCCAATGATGTTATGTCAATCAGTGACATTTTAATAAACATTTATTATTCTATGGTTTGTTTGTTATTTGTTATTTATTATTCTATGATTTTTGCTTCTTTTCTTGAAGACTAATAATTTGGATGGAACACACTTTTTTGAAGAAAAACCTATATAAGAGCCAAATGTTATTTGAAAAACACATTTCTTCAAATGCACACATTAATGCCTGGATTAATATGCATGAACGAATACCTAGTCTGTTTGCACTGACAGAAATATAGTAAAATAATTTTTATGTGAGTGAATATTAATTTGTTGTCCCTGCACATTTTTTCCTATTAAACTGAAATGTGTAAAAATGGATTATATGTGCATATGTGTTTTGTTTTGGGAAGTTACATACAATAAAATTTGGTTCTTATGCACACACGCATATATTTATATATACAAAATACTATGTGCCAGTGTGTACAATTGGAGCCCTTGAAGATAAAGATAATAAATTATAAAACAATAAAGTACAGATATCTTTGCCTGATTTATAAATACAAATATATATATAAGCCAACATAAATAGCATGATGTCGCAAACTTTAGGAAGTCAGAAGACCTTCTTCCCATGACTCGTTTTTCAGTATCTTAAGGCATAAATTCATATAATACATAGAAGTTTAAACTTTGCCATTTAACCGTTACAAGGAAGACAAAGGAGCAATACATATCTACAGAATGGCAAAATTTCCCATGCTTTTACACACAGTTTACCAGTGACTTTATGAATCCATGCATATTTATGGCTTACAAAAAAACAAAAAAAACTCAGTAACTTTTTGCTAAAGACTTGGAATTCCCATGAAGAGGTAGATGGGAAATAGATTCTGTAAAGTATTCAAATACATGTATAATCAAATGATTCAGCATGCTTGAAATTTGCCATTACACTCTGACTGTTTTTCTGTTAGAAGATTTTACATTATATAATAGTCACTAAATATTGAATTGTCTACGAAAAATTGCATTGTCAGTAGTGCAAAGTACTTGCAATATACCTATAAAGTATCCTGTAAATGGTGAAAATGTACCAATTTTGCAATTGAGTTGTGGGGAAATAGCCACTTTAGAGAAGATGACTGGTAACTGGTATAGTCACATACAATCCAAAATTTAATTTCTATAGCTATTCTTCCAGTTCACCTTTTTGGTCTAAAATGTGAAATTTACTTTGAATTCTCTTTGTATTCCAAACAATTTCTCCCTTTAATAAATAACTATGTAAGTAATCTGCAAAGCCATGTACTATATATAAGTTATAATTCACTGGCTAGTAACAATTTAGTTACTAGACAATTACAGGAAAATAATTGAACCTACTACGCTCCACTGACGGGTGCGCAGCATGAAGAGCACAGTGCTGTGTAAGTGTCAGGGTGGCGGTCCGGTGCCCAGGACCCAGACACTGTCCGGGCGGCGGTGCGAGGACTGGGACTCAGTATGCCTGATATTCAGAGTAGGAGTCACAGTGTGGAGGCGGATTAGCAGGGTCTGGTGCTGGGTAACCGCACACCCCCTGGTGTTGAGCACCAGCGTTTGTGCAGCCACATACCAAAACCCTGATGCAACTACAGCGGATCCCAGGAACTAGGAGCAGGAAATAAGAAGACCTCCCAGGAGCTGAATAGGGAGGCTCTGCAGCAGGTTTGTATCCAGTACAGAAACAAGGCAAGACTAGTGATAGGCACCATACAAGAAAAACAAGACAAAACTAGGAGAACCCAGAACCGGAGCAGGACAGAAAGCAGAACCCAGAACATGTACACAAGACATGAGGAAAACAAGAACAGGGCAGGACAGGACTGTACATTAACTGGGAATACAAGACAAAATAAAACAAGACAAGATATGATAGGCAAAACAAGAGGAGAAATAACCAAGTACTTTATATGGAAATTATGGGGATTTAGTCACATTATATGATCATACATTGCATAAGCCTGCCAACAACGCCAATGTACCCCATATCTGACAGGTCCTACACTGCCTAATGTATGCTAAAAC